TCTTAAATACGTTATCCCAGGGGTGCTACCATTGTTGCTGAGGAGCTCAGCCTTGCCAGTGGTGAGTCTGTCTTGGAGCCAGTTGGCATGGGAAGCTTCCAGAAGCTTCTCACAGAAGCCAAACCTGTACCCTGCAGCCTGCTACAAAACCTCGCCATGCAAATCCAGTGTATTATTATATCCAATGTCTGGACTAATATGGAATAGGGAATTACTGTATTATGTCTGCAGTCCAGGAAGAAGCTGCATTTATTCGCTTTTACTGTAATTCTGAACAGTAATAAGATCATCTCCTGAAAATAACACATCAGAGTCACTGCTTTAGTTATTTATTAAACATACCAGATTTTAAACCAACCCATTAATAAAAGTGCATAAAAGCACAAAGAGATCCTGGTATACCCATATATATACCATATATATACCACTGATCCCTCTTAACCTAAAACAGACTCTTTATTACATACTTCTCTGCAGTCCGATTCACGAGAAGCCCTCTGCTGCACCAAGTTTTTCATTTACAAACTGATGCTTATTCACCTCTGTTAGGCTCTGAACTTCGCGCATACCCGGCAAAGGAAGGAGCGGATGACGGCAGAGCGGTCCAAGCCAGCACCAGCCTCTGTTGTCATGGCAACTGGTGCCCGCACAGCCCGGCCCTCGGCTGCCGCTGCTCCCAGTCCTCTGCTGCAAAGGATGGAAAACCGATTTTCCAAAACTTCTCTGCGAAAGGTTACCCCCCAAACACCGTATTCTGTGTACTGAGTCTTGACCAGAGCCTGGCTACAAATATGGGCCTGATCCATGAAACTTCCCTGAGCTGTCAGCGATCAGAAAACAGTGGAGCAGCAGCATGAGCCAGTCATGTATAAGCCAGATTGCTAGACAGTGATAAAATTTCTCCTGTATTCCTCTGGTTTTCTCTGTTTATTATACAAAGGACTCAGTTCTTCTCCCATAGGTATTTTGCAAATATCTTCACCAGACAGATTTCATTCCTCACAGTCCACTGACTGCAGTTATGTTTGCTGATGCCATGAGCAAGTTTTTCTCCTGAGTGCATGAAGTGAATCTCTGTGAAATGTGGATAATGTTTTTCTTTAATATGCTTCAGGAAAAAAAGACTTTTCTATAGAAACCATGAAAAGTAGAAAGAATAAAAACCAAATTCTTTTAGCTGATTCTGTGAGTCACATAATGATAAAAATTCAACAAATGTTTTACTAGTTGAGAAACTGAACGAGCCCTGAGCTTTATGCAGCTTTTCAGTTCTGATACAAGAGAATTATTTTTCACTTAGTTGCTACATCATTTAAAAATTAATTACTTTTATTTGCATTTCAGTAATAATCCCCAACCAAGACTGGGGTCTTACTGTGCTGATTGCTGGGGGAAAACAGTAAGGAGAGATCCTGTCCTAAGGCTTTTGCAGCCCACGAAATAAATCCTGATTGTAAGGTCTGTCTGACCTCAAAGCAATATTGCTTTATCCACTCTGAGCACTTTCAAGTATAATAAAGAAAAAATAATTGAATACAGCAGCTAACTTAGCCAGTGAAAATGGAGAGAAATAGAAATATGATGACTTAAAGTCTTCTTTAAAAAAAAAAAATTGTTCATAGTTGATTTTGAATGGGTTTATAAAGCACTTTTATAGTATTGGTTTCTGGAAAGAAACTGTGCATCCTAAATTGCTAGGCTACACATGTACACATATATATAAATACATATATATCAGCAAGTTATCCCAATGTAACACAGCAGGCTGTGCAAACATGTTCCAAAATACTTGAAAGTTTTTGTGTGTTTTTCGTTAAATCACTCATTTCCCTGTAGTTTGCTTGTAACCCATGGTGACCGACCTGGGGACTTGCCTGTAACCTGCAGATTCTTACTTTCCCAGAAAGTCATTACGTGTGCTAACACGTCCACTTATCTGAATCAGACCCTCTAAAGAGAAGGCAATTTGTGCTAAGAGTTGCAAGGATCAAGGAACGGTTACCAAGCAGAAATGTAGTCTATTATTTTCCCCAGCTATAGCCTACGCAATAGCTGAATCCTGTGAAAAGTTCTCTGCTCTCATAGCAATGGATGTTCTTACAAGAAATGGTTCTATTGTAGGGGTTCATTGTCACTCTTTCTTTTTTCCTCCTTACAGAAGCCACTCACCCTATGAACAGTATGTACACTTATCTTCTACAAGATATCTTTCAATTTCGCCACCTGCAGTGCTTCATGAAGTTATTTAGTACTTTTCTATCCCTCTTCATCTTTATCACTTTATCCTGTTCATCATTACTGAAATCTCAGCAGCATTCTGCAACAAGTTGCAACCATCTATATTCATGGCTGTTAGTGACTTCTAGTGATCTAAGGTACTTCTGGTGAACCTCAGACCATTTATCTTATTTCAGCTATGTTATAATAACTAACATTGTCTTAAATATGTTCCTGTAAAAAATAGAGATTACAATAAACTTTATTAAAATGGATGTAAAAAATCAAATAGGGAATTTATCAAATATTCTGAGAAAGCATCAATTGAAATGGGAAAAATGGAAAAGGAAATGGTAAAATACTTCCTTCGTAATTGAATAATATTTTAGCTTTCAAGCATCTTTGTTTAAGGTACAAAGATTTGGCTACAGAAATACATATCGTTCCAGTGAGAGCAGGCACAGGAAACTAAATGTACTGGCTGACAAAGAGAAAAGAATATAATGAAATCTGTGGTGAAATTTGTGGGAGTGAGATTACTCAGATTAATATATGATAATTCCTAACCCTTTCCTCATTGATCCACTTGCTAATCCTGCATACACTACATTCTTTCCTCCCTGAGTGATTTACTCCTCTTGACATTTTGATGTGCAGTGTCTGTTGTCTTTTCCACTTAAAAGAAACATGTTGACAATCACAGCCACCTCTAGCTGTTTTTGTCTTTTTCCCCAAATACTTCCTTCATCTTAGCTTTACTTCTCTCTTTTCACAGAATTTCACCAAATTATTCGAAGTAAAAAATGACAACAACTTCATCTTCTTTTCCCCATCCTCCTTTGGCTGATGCCCCCTTCTCTGGCTGCCTGCCTTTCTGTGTCCCAGTTACAGGGTCTTCCTACCTTGACTTACGTTAATGTCATGTCTCATCTCCCCATCACCCCACTCTGCTCATGTTCCCTCCCTTACTCTTCCCTTTTGTCTCTCAAACTTAGGTGGTTTTCAGTTCTCACAACAAAGGCATGTTTTCAAGTCTTAAACTCATACTTGACCTCATTTGCCCCTCCAATTTCTCCTTCTCTCTCTTTCATCTGTGAATTCACTTAACGTGCTGTTTCTATTTCACTAGAGTACCTCTACTTATTCCTTTTCCTTTCATACTTCAAACCTTACCCTACTACAGCTCTCCATGAAGTACTTTATGACTTGCAAGGCACTAACTGGGAGCAGTGTGTGTTCCTCAGGTTCCTTAAGCTGCCACCACTCTGTGTTGAAGAGCAAATCTTGCCCTTACTTAAGTCCTTCCTTTGCTCCTACTAGTCTGTCCTCTCCTCGTTCCCTTCCCTCTAATCTCTTCTTTCTTGTAAAGTTTCTCTTACCTAATCAGTCTCTATTGGACTTGAGTGTTGTCCTCCTCTCCTTACTGCTGGTATTCTTATCTCTAAATACAAATTCAATTACTGCATGTTTCTAGGAAGAATATTTACTGGTCTACCTCTTTATTACCTCCTGTTCAATATCAAGTCTTGAACTGTCTGGCTTCTGTTGATGATGTTTAGGCACCAATTAAAAGTAAACATGGCTAAGATAATGCTAACTGTGGGTACAGAGGTAACACTCACTGTCTTTAGCCTTCACTGCTGGAGACAAGACTGACACCTGTCATTTGAACTTACTGGCCAGCACTGTCTTGCATGTCTTTAAATTTCTCATATAGTCTTCTTTAATATGGCATTTCATAGACTCATTCACCTTCAAATTCTCATAATTTCACATGTGATTACTACAAAGTCTTTCTTTGGCCTTCAGGAGTAAAACAGACCATTTTTGACTTCTTCCTCTCGTATTCTGGTCAGCAGAGAGTCGTGACTTCCCTATTCCAGCTGGTCTGTGATGCCCACCTTTGTGAATTTTCACTCTTGCACTTTCATAATTTCTTTTTGGTGCTTTGTTGCTTGCTATAAATGTCTGTAAAGTTACGTCTTTTCCTCTGAAGCTGCCTATAGGCATCTACTACTTTATATGGAAATTATAATCTGTCTGGGGCAGTGACCATTTTCATGCTGTGTACAATATGTACCAGGATGAATTTCTGGACCTAGGCTGAGATTTCTAGACATTGCTGCAATACATAATAATTCTTAAAACATATAAAACTCCACATCAGATCAGAGCTCCTCATTCCCTTTCCCATACCTGTCCCTACTGTAATAACTCAGGTGCACAGCTAAGGATGCAGCATACTGACAAGAACTGGGAAATTCAAACTTGCAGGTCAGCTTCTGTGCAGCCCACCCTCTGGCCAGCTTTCTGCACATCAGAAGGTATCAGAGGTAGCGTGGAAGAAGGCTGAGCACCATTACCTCTTCCTTTATTCAAACCTATTTCTCAAATCACTTGTTTTGCAGAAAGAAAAGCCATGTGTTCCACGGCAAGACCCTCCAAGACCAAGTTCTCTTCCCTTCTGGTGACGTTGTCGCACAGTTGCCGGGGTTTAATGCTTTCGCTCGTAGCCGAGCACCGCCGTGAGCGGGTCTCCGGCCCCCGAGCAGCCCTGTTAGCGCAGAGCCCGCTCCGCAGCAGGCGCTCCGAGCGCTCCGCGGCTTTAGCGCGGACTTGGGCGCCCGCATTTCTCTGCGGGGGCGGAATACGATCCCCTCGCAGCAGGTGAAGGGGGTGCACACACACGGCTCCGTGCAGGCACGCCTGTGTGTGCGGTGCCTGTACGATGCGTGTCCCGGCCGCTCCCCGGCCCGCGGTCCCCCCGCGCCGCCCGCACTCACCGGGGCGCGGCCCGCCCGGCTCCCGCCCGGGCTCGGCGCCGCCGCCCTCCTGCTGCGGGCTCTCGGAGTCCGTGTTGGTCAGCCAGGTGGACTCCGTCTCCCGCGTCCAGCTCTCGTAGTACCGGGGCTCGATGGCGTCGGCCCGGCTGCCCCCGCAGCCCATGGCGAGACCCCGCTCACAGGCTCAGTCACAGCCGCCGCCCGGGCACCATCGCCCCGCCGGGCACCGCCGGCCCCGCTCACGCCCCCCGCCCCATCCCCGCTAGTCCGGCTCTCCCCGGCTCCGCTCGCCCTTCTCCCCCTTCTCTCTGGCTTTATTATCTCCGCTGTCCCCCCTCCCTCCTGGCTGTCCCCTCCCCTTCTCCTCCCGTTACCCCGTTCCTTCCCCTCCCGCTTCTCTCCGCTCTCACATCCCACCGCCTCCCGCCCCGGCCCCGATCTCTCCCCATCCCCGGGTGTCCCCCAAGAGCGGGGATTGCTGCCTCCGCCGCAGCGCTGGCTCTGCCCCGCCAGGTTCCTCCGGCTGCCCGCGGCCGGGGGCAGACACGCCGCGGGCTGGCAGAGCTCCCTCCTCTCCGGGTTATGGATCCGTACGGGCAGGATTTGCTCGCACATGCCAGCGTGCCACAGCTAGTAAGGCACAGCAGTCTTCCCGGCCTGCGCTTAGCAGCAAGCGCAAGTACCCTGAGTGAGTCTTGTGTTCGTCTCCCTAAACCATCTGCCCTTCCCTGATTTAGCCGGGAGAGCCTTGCGTCCACCTTTGGCGTTAGTTGGTTTGCTGGTGTGTAAAGGTGCGGTACTGAGTGCTCAACTCGAGAAACACTTCCATTCTTTACTCTTGGATACTCTTTTGGGAGGCAAGAGAGAACATGAGATAATACTATAATTTAGGTTTATACTCAGGGTGATGTAAAGAGATTTTTGAGTCACTGATGGTGGCTGCAGTTAGTATTGCAACAGCTGCTTGTCAAGGTCCCTGTCAGGGTTAGAGCCGGCTCCATGAACTCTAGGCACTGTGGGATCTTGTTGTGAGAAGGAGACTTTAGCCCAGATGGATGTTTCTCTCCTGGAATCATCTTGTAGTAGAGCAACAGGAATGACTGTCCCCTAAGACAAACTACAGAGCAATACAGAAGTTATGTTCTGCCCTTCATACTGTTACACAGTGTGGCTCTTGGTTAAAAAAGATATATCCATTGAAATCTGGAGAAACTTAGGCTGTCCTCTGTTATTGGAGCTGAAAGCAGGAACACAAACTCTCTGGAGCTAAAAGATCTTGTTTCTAAAGGCTGGTACAAGATTTTTAAGAGGATCCCATAGGCCTTAGCTCTGCATCCCAGCTGCTCTGTCCTGTGTTCTGGTTCTGAAGTGATACAGGTTGAAAACTGCTGTCTGAGTAGCTGAATCACCTATTATGCTTCCCGAAGCAGATGACTGTTGAGGTGTTTCTAAGCAGCTTCACAGGCAAACACTGACTCACAACAACCTTACTTTCCAGTTGGGATGTGATGAGATCCCTCACCCATGGGGGTGCTGCTGACAGTTATTGCCCCCGTACTTGTGCTGCCAAGGTCCCAGGATCAGAGGGACAGTGATCTGTGAGGAAGCAGCTACTTTTCATCACTGTGGTAATGTTTTTCTGGATAAAAAGATGTTACTTTTATAAAAAGAGGGTTTCAACAGAGATGATATTTCAATCAGTCTGCCCCATCAGCAGATAGTCCCCAGAACAATGGAATACAGTGGTGTTTGAAGCCAATGAAGAGGTTTAACACACATCCCACTTCCCAGGAGTTGTGTGTGCCCTGGGTGGGCATAGGGCATGGCCCAGAAAAAACTGCTAGACATGCCTGAGCCTCCAAATAAGACCTCAGCAACACAGACAGTGTCTCACGCTGTAATTATGTGACACAGCTTTCTAGGCTGAGAGCACTAGACAAAGTACATGCTGGAACAGCACCTTCAGGCAGCCTTTTTATTTTGTTTCATTTGGACTTAAAATTTGGAGGGAGGGTCTGCTGGCATGCATACTTTCACATCACTTCGATTTCAGTTCTAGATGTGCTTCATCTTCTCACACTTATTTTTCCTAGCACAATTTTCAAACCCTTGGAAAGAAAACAAAACACTGACAAGAGAATATAAGGCTTCTCTTTCTTTCCTGTTATTACCACCACCACTAGAGAGGAATTAGACCATAAATGTAAGGTGGAGTCTTAAAGCATTATATTGAACCATGTTCATTTTCCTTGAGCCTACAGAGGTGCATGCTTTGCACTAGTACTTCACATCACCCTTCAAATTTCTGTTTGTAGTGGAACATGGAGAAAATCACTGCAGAAAAACAATAATGTAACTATTACTACTTTTGTGTTTAAGCTGCTGGTATAATTGTGATTTTGAATTTAAAAAATACTTTGAAATAAAAATTTTTGTATGACTAATACAAATAAAAGGTGTTTGTTAGCTCTGTAAGTAAATGGCTTAACTTTATTTTCATCAATTTCTAGTGGAACCGAGAACTACTTTTTGAAATTGAAAACTTTTTTCCAGAGCTAGAAGAACTTTTATAGAATCATAGAGTGCTTTGGTTTGGAAGGGACCTTAAAGATCATTTAGTCCCAACACCTGCCATGGTCAGGGACACCTTCCACTAGACCTGGTTGCTCAAAGAGGCATCCAACCTGGCCTTGAACACTTCCAGGGAGTGGGCATCCATAACTTCTCCAGGCAACCTGTTCCAGCATCTGACTACCCTCACAGTAAGGAACTTCTTCCTAATACCTAATCTAAATCTACCCTAAAAATACCCTACCTTAGTCTTCAGTTTGAGACAACTCATGCTTTATTCTTTGTTGTGTTAAAAATTAATTTACAAGACTAAGAGAAAAAAAGAGGTTTTCATTGTTTTGTTAAAAGAGCCAAATGCAATCAATTGTGGGTACCTTTGTATCAGAATTCATTCTGATTAATTAAGAAAATTACTTCTCACTGCCGAGTGTGCAGGGCACAATGTTCATGGATCTGCATCCTTCTGATTCCCTTGTGAGCCAAAGAGCAAGCTCTGAGGCACGCAGCCACTGTGTGAGAGGGCATGTGCTGTAGCTATAGGGTACCACAACCTGTGGCAGGGAAATGCATGCTGGCTGGCATGAAGTGGGTGATGACAGCTTTAATAAGCAAGGTAACAACACACAAGAATATGAATTCAATAATATTCATTTTGCACTGAGAATCATCTTGGGGAAGAAAGTGGACAGAAAAGGAAATCTGCCTTCAGAAATACAGAGTGAATGTATGAGTGAAGAATTGAAATCTGCAGAACTCTTGAGGGGAGAAACTTTACAATTTGTTTTTCTTCCTTTACTTCAGCACCTGAGGGGGTGTAGCCTGGAAAGAGAGGGATTAAGAACTCAATTTTTTGGATCAAATTTAACTCGTCATGCTGTTAGCCTCATGCCAGGTGATGATTAAGGCAGTAAAATCTGACCTCTTTCCATTAATTGTTAGAAAAAGGGTGGCCTCCCAGAGATCCTATTAGTGGAGCTTGGACTGCCTTTTAGGTTGCTCTGGTTTTGTGCTGTCTGATGCACACTGTGCAGTGATGCTTTTCCTCCTCCCGCTGTCGGTGATGTCTGCTCTGTGTACCCTGGTTTCAAGATACGCTCCTTCAAAAATGTGAGTAGGAATTAAAGGGATGGGATGGGAAAGGGAAGGGGATCTCAGGGATTTTACATTTACAGTTTCTCTAAAATGGGGTTAAAATAATGAAAATATACTTTTCCTCATAAAATCCATATGGAATTGTGGTAGGAACCATTATTATTTTTCCCCTAAGATTACAATTCTTCTGTATCCCAATGATCACTTCAGTGCTAAGTGCAGGAGAAGCAATAGCAAATTTCCTATTTCTCTTCAGTTTTTTGGCTGGTATCTCTTCTTGTTCTATTAGATGATGTTTTAGCAAAGACACCAGTTAAATCTGGTTTTAGGTCCCAGCTTTTCTTGCAAACCTGTTTTCTTCACTCCAGAAAGCAGACAGGAGGTCAGTTTACTCGCTTACCCAGGATCCCTGTGGTTCAAGGACATCAATAGAGAGAAGAATTTAAAATATGTTCTTTCTAGTAAGGTATTTTCTGTATCTGAGGAGAAATGTAATTATTTAGCTCTGTTATACCCATTTGACACCATCGCTTCAAGCTTGTAATATGCCTGGAAGCAAGATTGCCTCTGAAGCTCTCACACTGTACACTTGAGTCAGCTCTCCTCCTGCCAGCAGATATTTACTAAAAGTAAATGATTGAGCATTCCTCTTTACTGTTATGAGCACTTGGAAAATATAATTTTCTTGCCTTGATTGCTCAAATATTTCTCTTAAACAGTTTTCAAATGTATACCATATAATTTTCACATTGCTCTGCATTATTTATGCATTTCTTTCAACAAGGAAATGATAGCATTCATTCCTGGCCATTCAAAAGGTTTTCAGTTTAGTATTCACAGCTTCCTGGACCTATGTAGGTGATATTCAGTTACAGCTGAAGGTTTGGTAAGATGTCTCCAAACAGTTCATAAATAAGGAAGAATTTAATTAACTCACTCTGTCATTGCATCTTTTTCATGTTTGAAAATTACTCTGAAACACAGCCTCAAACTCCAACCTAGAGAGCAAGGCCTTGAATATCTCCATCCCAGCCTTCTAATTTAATTTTAAATTGGATTAAAAACCCTAGAGGAATAGTTTACCAGATTCTTAATTGTGAATAACAATACCCTGGCAGCACAGAAGTTTCCTGTGATGATATACTATCAAGAAAACTTCAGTCAATTCTTTCCAGCTTTCTCAGCCTTTGAAACACAGCTTGACCTTAATGCTGACCTGTACTTGTCAGGGTCCAACCTCCTTCCCTTATGAATAGTGAACATTTCCTGGTGAAGATACTGTACATTTTGCATAAGTGGGAGGTTTAGAATCAGTACAATCATATTCACTTTCCCAGCAAGTAGTGGAAAACTTTTACATAGCAGGCATCAGTGTCCTCACTGCATGAGATCTTAGTGATACTTTATGACTGAAAATTGAGCCAGATGTACCTGTTTGGTCTGTGTCCACTGTGCTTTTTCTGTGTGCTGTGTGCAAAGAAATCTCTAATATCGGTATGTGAAAAGACGGAATCTTAGGTTTGCCTCCATCTATC